AACAACATATCGACCCGCAAGCAAAGCATATTTGGGAGTTTTTTTTCTGGCTCTAGTTTAACCTTCAAAACTATCTTTCCCGTGATCGTGGGGCAGAACGCCAACACCAAAAACGTAAACGAAAACTATTATTCCGGAAGCGGAGGCGTAGAACCGAACACGCGATAAGAAAAACCCACGGAAGCACAAATCAGCTAGCATGACGCTACAGCAACAATTATATTTATACCAAGTTCTTGTTCGGGAGTTTTCACAAGCTCAGAATCTTCATTTATTCACATTAATGAAAACGTTTGTTTTTGTGACAGCGAATTTAAAACCAACTGTTCTCGGGCAGTCGGGCAGTCGGGCAGTCAAAGTTCTCGAAATTTGCATGATATAAAACCCTTAAAATACTCTTAAATTTTCCGGATATTCATAGCTTTACTGAAAGTTCCGGAGATTCCATAAGCTTCTCGAAACTTCTATAAAGTATCTGTAAATGAAATTATTTGAACTGCACTTTGATTCTCTGATGTCTTGATGTTAGCGGAGCTACCATAAAGCTCTCAATTTTATTGAAGATCTCGGTCTTGCTCTGAAATAAATGGAATTCTCGTAAACACATTGAAACTTCCCTGGAAATATCTAGACTTCTGTGAAATTCCTGAAATATTTCTGAAGGTTACATAAATTCTCTGAAGGTCTGTGTACTTCCCTGAAATTGATCGGAACAAATTTGCAATATCTTGAACTTGTACATGGAATACGAAACTTCAAGACATTGCAAATTTCCAACCCGAAAGACTAGACCGGATCGGGAATCTAATCTGACGCATTCCCGAAGGTTGCTGATAATAAACTGGCAGCGCTATCTGAAGTCCGGTCATCTGCGTCTGATTGATAGATATAGCAGTGCTCGATTGAGAGCAGAACTATCGAACACTACTCGAAACAAGTCTTCACGAGTTTACCGAAATAATTCATAATTATTCCCAAAATCGCTTCATTCCCATCAGCTCGCACACAGAATGAACGAAGAATTCATCAATAGACACTGGACCACTAAGAACCCAGCCAGAGTGGCTCTCTTGTAGGCGTCCTGACCTCAGCAGCTCAAATATCAATTCGGTATTCAACAGCATGTTGATGTTATCGCGTCAGCCAGCTGGATATCTCCCGGATTCGAGAGCGATCTGGGATCAATCTTCGTAACAGGCAGCTCTCCGGTTATCACCCTAAGAATCACCAAGAGATGAACTAGCCTCAGGCTAAAAATCTCTAAAATAAAGATTAAAAAAAAAAAAAAAAAAAAAACCTAAGAATCACCGTAACCAACAAAAGGCCTTGCAGTAAACAAATATTGGCAAAACACGAGATTGTCTTAAGAAGTTCACAACGTCCTTGAAAAGATTGAAAAGACACATAGTCTTGTAATTGTACTAAAAAATTAAAAAAAAATCCAAACACGCTTTAAGCAGGATGGGACCCTATTAGCACAGACAAACAGACGTAACACATTGAATATTTCTCACTGTAAAACATCGTCGCTAAAACATTACCGCCATCTGTTGAGTACACTGTGGTGGGTAGTACGCTGATCAGATGGAGGTAGTGTGTAAACGTCAAACGCAAGGGAATTGACTATGCACGCCACAGGTGGCGGTACTACCAACTACGATACTTTTAAATTGACCGTTAAATGCTTGTTCGATGAAAAACTTACGAGTTTATGTCTGTTTGTCTGTGCTATTAGCGTAGGTTTTGCTTCAATAGAAATTCTACGCATTTTTATGACAATCTATGTCAACAATGCCTGTGTAACATTTTAAAAGGACCTATTAACTTTTGTAAACAAAACTTGTTAGATCCTTTTCGCACGAACCGTAGAACGCCCACGCAAACCAACAACACCATCGGGTAGGGGAAATTCCCTCCTTCCCGATAGTGCTCTTGGTTTGCGTGGGCGTATTTCAGTTCGCGTGAAAATTGCCTAACAAGTTTTGTTTACAAAAGTTAATAGGTCCTTTTCAAGTGTTACGCGAGACTACATGTATTTAGCTCGTTTCAAAGGGTTTTGCATCGTACATCACACTTGACGTAATATGGTCGAGATGTTAATTAGTAATCTTGATTTGCAAAACTTTGAAAACTCAAACTAGAAAACTGAGTTCGTTTGAAAATAAGCATCTATCAAAACATGTGTTACAAGATTATTTGAGAACTTTTGAGAATCCCGAAATTTTCTTGGTAAAAATAAAACCCCGAGGTTTTCCCGGTTTTCCAGGTTACTCTGATAGACAGTCAACTATCGAATAGTATTCGGTAGATGTGATAAAGTTGTATCCTATGATGGCTACATAAATTTACAATAAATCCGAATGAGAAACGTGATAAGAACACCAATCAAGTTGATCAACCGTTCAACCAGATTAATGACGCGCTGCGCCTGATATCTGCCTTTTTCTAGAACAGCTACAGCAAACCAGTCCTGAAGTATGAATACATTACCAAACACGACACCGTGTTTTGGCGGGAAATTCAAACCGCTTCGGTACGCGCAAACTTAAGCTTTCTCCCTCCGTACTTCTAGTTGTGCTTATGCTTCCTTTATTATTATATAGCTACATACATTCCTCCTGTTGCGGACGACGAAGCCCCCTCATTCCGATGCACATTGACAGCAAAGCAATATGAAAGTATTTAACCAGAAATGCACAGGCATGCATACAGCCGTGAAACAAGAACTGGTACCCATTAGTTACCCTCTTGGTCCTATCCTTCCCACCAAGCAGTACAGAGGTTTACTTTTATGGAAAATTTAAAGTCTATATAGACCCTGACTGGCAAAATAGTAGCTATGTTGTATCGGATCGCAATAGCCTGTCTAGTGTGCCAGGATGACCTAACTGTGTAGGTATGCGTGAGTTAGTTCACATATGGCGCGGATAATAGCTACCCTCTTCGAATTTCTCACAATATAATAGAGGTAAATAAACGACGACCACGTCGACGTCGGACAGGATGCCGATGGAGAAGTGTGATAGTCAGTGGATTGACGCGATAAAAAAAGAATATAAGAAATAAACGAACACAAAACAAACTGGAACTACCAGGCAAACTCAATTTCAACGACCCCTTTACATAATAAATTTGATCGAGAATGGTTTGTATTAAAATAAATAAAAGGGAACGAGGGAGGTGTTGACGAAGGCGCGTGCCTTGCGCTCATTATTGAGCAGTCAAATTGGTTATAGTTGAAAAAGGTTGAGAATGTTCCACGAAAGCCGAATTTGTATCATTCTTCGTAACAATAATTTGAGTTTACTAAATTGCATATCAGCCTTGCAGCAACATACTTGACATGCAAAAAGGATGCACTGCTGCGCAATTGGCGAACCCAAGGTCGAGTCAGCGACTGCCCGGGTGGTACCCGGCAAGCATATGCAAGCATGAAGATTGCAAACAAAAAACTGTCGCATTCAAATTGATAGGGATGTTCAAATGCGTATCTTAAACCTTCGGTACTACACACGGTAACCACAAAATACTCAATAATGAAAATAATGTATGCAGTTTCGACGGAAAATGAGGTTACCCATAAAATGAGTAAAATGTTTACTCATTTTTGAGAAACTGATATTCAAAATCAAAAACTTTTACTAATTTCTAATCCATGAGTAAATTCCACTTTCCCTTCGGAAATGCATAATTTATAGCCAATATTGAGTGTTTTGCAGTTTCCGTGCAGATCTATTTGCTAGAAACTAATCTGGACAAACTGATTGATCATAACCAAAGGTTGAACATCCCCACCCAGGGGGCAATAAGCCCGTAGCTTTCAACCATCCAAAATACCGGTTTCCTTTCTTCTTCGCCAAATATGCCAAACGAGCCTTCTCGGGCTGTTTATTTTGGTTCCTCATTCGTCTCGAATTCTGGTACATTAGGTTTAAATTGCCTGCTGAGCTGCTAAAGAAGCAACTTCGCCTGGTAGAGTCTCTCGTCCCTCTATCCAACGTTAACGCCTGGTGCTTGGTAGGTATTGCCTTTTAAAATATCATCGAAGACGATAAGAACAAGAGAACACTGGGTAGGTACCGGGAGAAAAAGTTGATCAAAGCAACAGGGAGAAAATGGAATCTGGATGTAAAGCGTCGTCATAGCCAACGTCTCTGTGTGTCTCTATTCGACGCACGGCTTTCGTCAATCCGACGAATGAACCTCCGAAACGCCGCAGCAAAGAGCGCCAAAATTCAGCTGTGCGACGCTTTCCCATAGAGTACCTACTGGTTTGTACAGAGGCAGTTGAGTACATAGATAGGGTAATAGGACATGGGAAGAGCAAACAATTTTTATTATCTAATACTTGCAGGTTCCTTAAAGGGATAGATAAGGCCAGTTCGAAACCGTCGATTATGTAAATAAGCATTGATTGATACAACTGATTATGCTCATATTTCCAACGGATCTCAGATACACACTCAATTCAATTACAAGATAATTGCCAAAATGATGTTGGCACTTACTAGTTCAAGTTCACTGAATCGCAAAAACCAGCGAAGCGCAGCTAGAGAAAAAAAAACTAAAACTTCTTCATGGACTTCGTAGAGTCAAATCAATGTCCAATACTCACACATACGCCTTAATAAAACAAAAAAAAAGCGCGTGGAGTAAATTATTCCATGTGACTCACGGCGACTACCTTTGACGATGGCGATTCCGTTTGGTACAGTATCATACAAGCTATACCTCCGTCGTATTTTCACCCCACAGAATTAAACGAAGCCCGTCTTCTGTTACCCCCACGGTGTGAAACTAGCACAACAAGGCAACATCTGCATTCTTCGGTTGTTTTCTTTTTATTGGCGCGATCCTCCCAGCAAGAAATAACACAAGGACTCGGAAGGATGTGCATTACAATTTGTGGTGTAACGGTTTTTGGATTGTCCTGAATAAGACGGTCCTTTGCGCGCATTGTGTAAGGATTACGAATAGGGATCAACGTGTCAACTACTTACCGCATCGTCCAGGGTATATTTCCGCTTCCGACTATTTCTGGTTCGAGGTTCTGGAATGTCCGACGTTGACGATATGCTGACATCCTCGGAACTACGGGGCAAAAGGAAAAATCATTTGAGGATTAGAGATTGGAACTTGAACTATTCGGGAATTTAAAATATAATTGGAGGAATTGTACCTATTCTGGACAAATTTTGATATTTAATTATCCAATAACGTATAAGAACATTGTCCTAAGTATTAGACAACTAGTACAGAAGGTAGGAAGTTTGAGGGGGCAGCAAAAGAGGCAATTTTAAACATAAACTAATATGATTCCTAAAATGAAAGTACTGATCAATAGCTAAACTACTCTAAAATAAACTTCCCATAATTGCATATCAGTCCCATCTTTACACGATTGCCTATCCATGTAGACAGTAATGGATCGCTCTTTTGGGGCTATTCCATTACTTTTTAATATAGAATGTTAACGTAAAATCCAGTTGAATTTCCAGTCAACCCATCCTAAAATGTGTTTACACTGAAGGTGCACTCGAGAGCGCTCTAAAGTGTACCTTCAGTGTAAACACAAAGTGTGGCTCTGTGGTGCGGAAATTTTGAATTTTGATACGGAGACTAATAGCACTAGACTATCTTTTTTAAGATGGGTATAATTCTACTGGATTTAACGTAAGCATTCTATATTAAAAAGTAATGACATAGTCCCAAAAGAGCGATCCATCTCTGCATGTAGGACAGTTTAATGATTATGAGCTGTACAGACCCTTCCCGGTTTTGGTAACAAGACTGCATCAACTAATACTTTCTTGTTTTGCATCATAGCTTTCTGAATATGATCGATGAATTACGAATATTTTAGAAAACCAAAACAATGGACTAGCAAAAGCAAAACTTAAATTCAGCTTTCGAGCGATTCTATACAATGGATTGGATTTGAATTGGATTGAATTTGAATTAGATTAGCATTGAATATCAATTGAACTTGGGTTTCGATTGGATTGTTATTGAATGGACTAGATATTAATTTGGTTCGAATTGGGTTACGATTGCATTTGGAGTGAATTTGAATTTGATTTGGATAAGAATTTAATTGGATTAGGATTGAATTTGCATTGTTTAAGCATTGAATTGGATTTGGATCACTTTTTGATTGAATTTGAATTGGAAAGAATACAAAAATCACATTTTGACTAAAAACTCGAATATGTTTACTTAGCTTTTCCAAGTGCTGGAAATATAATAAATCTCACATTTTTTCTTAACGATTTAAGTAGCAGAAATAGTGGCCATTTCTTTAAAAATACTGAAAACGTATTCAAATCTCTCTAATTTACTAAGTGACAAAACTTAACGAGGCAGAGGAAGTGGCTCTAATGTGGGCCTATGGATGTCATTCTCCATTTTGTTGTCAGAAAAATACGTCATCCGGACAAGAAAAATTTGTACTTATTGCTAAAAGGATCAAAAATACTTAGTTTTGGAATATATTTTAAGTTCCAGCTATATACTTATTTTGGATTTAATTTATAATGACTATGGATTGGATTGAACTCAGATGGAATTTGGATTGAACTTGTATTACATTATGTTTGGAATAGTATTGGATTTTGATGGTGTTCGGATTGGATGAGAATTGAATTTGGATTCGATTGAATTACATTCGAATAAGATTTGGATTTAATTTAGTTTGGATGTGGGTTGGTTTAAGATTGCATTTGAATTGTTTTTGGATTGAACTTGAGTTGAGTTTGGATTCGATTTTGACTACATTCGAATTAGAATTGGAATAGATTTGGGTTGGGTTCAGATTGAATTGGATTGGATTGAGTTTAGATTTAATTGAATTTGGATTGAGTTTAGATAGAATTGAAATTGAACTGGATTAGCAGTTATTGTGTGGTTGGATTCGCTGGAGGAGGAATTGTTTAAAAATGACTAGAGAAAATTAAGCACCGAGAATGCGCTCCCGGATATATTGATTTGGTGAGTACGTTCCAGTTGAAGATTGTTCTCTCTAAATATCCCTTGTTTGAATACATTTCATTTATCAAACATTATTATATGCTGGGTTTGGGGGGGCAGCCTAAGGGTTTCAAGGGATTTGTAGACTGGACAAGAGTTCGTGGATTTGCCAGTCCCTTGTCACGTGTTGATAGACGTACATCTTGTCGTTTGTCTTCCAAAGGTCTTCAATGAAATTGATTCACCCTGCTGCAACAAACCATCAGGCAGAACTTTACAACCAGTGAAGTATCTGCAGTCATAGGTAATCCTTGCACTGATGGTGGGTTCTATTCACATCACACATCACAATTGAAATTGAACTGGATTAGATTCGAATCGGCATTAGGAATGTATTTGAATTAAATTTGAATTAGATTTGGATTGGCTTTGGATTGAATTTTGAGTTGGACTTGGATTTGGAATGAATTTATTAGATTTAATTAGAGTTGAGTTGGATTGAATTTGAATTGGATTGAATTTGAATTGGATTTATTTGTATTGGTTATGGCTTTGGTGCAAATTAGATTCATAATAAGTTTGGATTGGATTTATATTAAATACTAAAGCGACTTGGATTTGGATTTAATTTGGATTCGATTTGGATTAAATTGTTATTGAATGGACTGGTTTTTAATTTGATTTTAATTAGATTATAATTGGATTTGTAGTGGATTTTGACTATATTTTAATAAGGGTTGATTTGGATTTGGATTGAATTTTTATCGGTTTTAAATTGAATTTGGATTAAACTTGGATTGGATTGAATTAGGATTAGATTTAAATTGGAGTTGGGTTGGCTTTTGGGGGCCTCCCTTAGCTTAGGCGGAAAAGGCGCAGCTACAAAGCAAGACTATGCTGGAGGTGGCTGGGTTCGATTCCCGGTGTGGTCTAGGAATTTTTCGGGTTGGAAAATTTTTCGACTTTGCTGGGCATAGAGTATGATTGTACTTGCCACACAATTATACTAATGCAACAATGGTACACGCATCGAATGCTCTAACACTAAGTAGAGAGCACGCAATAAGCTAATAAGCGATAAGCAATAAGCTTAAAATTCAAAGAAGAAGAAAAGAAGAAGTGGGTTGGTTTTGGATTGGATTTGTATAGGTAATTAGACAGGTTTAAATTAGATTCAGGATAGCTTTTGATGTTTATTACATTTTAAATTGAACTTGGATTTGGATTGAATTTTTATTGAAATGATTGGATTATGCGAATAGCAGCTGCGCAGGAACTAACAGAGCTACAGAAAGTTATATAACTATCCACGAACATCTTGAAAATAGAGAGGTTATGGAACTAGAGAAACTTCCGGAACTCATGAAACTCTCCAAACACAATTCCTAGAATTCCTGGGATGAGAATGGAAGCCAACATCACTGCAAGGATTACCCACCGACAAACCGACGTGGCTGCCAATTCTGATATTAAAATAAACATCTGGAAAATTTCACTAGCTCCCATCCGACTCTTACTGGATTCATGGAGCTGCCAAACCCTGGGACTCAGGGTCTTCGAAGTTATGGCTGCTCCAGGAGCTCCAACGCCAGTTTTTGGTATTTCGTAAGTATTTGGAGTGTGGACGATTTTACTGGAGTTTCAGGGCGTAGAAAAGGATCTGAATTTCTTAGAGTTCCGGAAATTGCAAATATATCTGAGTCCTTGATATTCGCTTTCGGAGTTCCAGGGAGTATTACAATTCCTACGGTGCCGACAATACTCGCAGTTCCATAATTTGGAAAAAAAATGTACAAGAGACCAGTTCCACGCTAAATAGCAAAACAAAAATTTTAAAAAATTACTCGTCCTTCTCCGATTTGCATGACACTTTGCATTATTGTTTGTTATGGGCAATCATTCATATTTTTGCAAAAAATCGGCCATTTTGGATATTGTATTTTTCTTTTTTTCAAAATGGCGTTTGACATTTTCAATAAATTGTAGCACGTAGACGTCACTTTTAATCAAAATGACGTTTGAAACAAAGTTGTTGAGAAAAGTATAGTCTTTCTGGGAAAAATATACACGGTAATTTGTTTTGGTTTTGTTATTTTGAGTGATAAACTTATGAAAAATGCAAATTTTTGGGATATTTAAAACCATGGACACTTGAAAATTGACAAACATCGTAGAACATCAACGTTTGTTTGCAACTCCAATTGAACAATACTCAAAAAGATTATAAATTCTGCAGTGTTCCAGTGATAAGCTTTATGCAAATTTAACACAAACTTAGTAAAAGTAATTTAGTAAAAAGTTAGTTCAAATTGAGCTAAAACCTCTCTAGGGACAAGTGTAACCCCCTGACGATTGTACGATCTATGTATTTCCTTTTTGAATTTATTGAAATATTGAAAGGAATTTGTTGATATTGTTTGAGTTTTTTTTTCAAAATTACTTCAAGAAAGTCGCTTTAATAAAGGAATAAAAAAATGTGCTTGGTGTTATATATCGGAATGTTGTGCCAGTGCTACTAAAGACGAAACATCAATTTCACAAAGATTTGATTACCGTGCAAGCACCATAAGTTGAACTGTCCATAATTAGGCACTGTTCAACTTATGGTGCTTGCACGGACCTTACCACACAACCTAAAAGTACCTAGAGACATCCTTGAAAGTAATTTCTAGAAAAGAGAAAAGGCACATCTTCTAAAGCTCCTTAAGTACACTTCTAGATGTTACAGGTAGCTTTGATCAATTCTCTTCATCGAATTTCTCTTTTGATAACCACAAACAGCTTCCGTGCTATTTTTACCACATAGTTTGAGAAGGAGAGCTGAGTTATTAACGAAAGAGAAAGTCGATGAAGAGATTAGATAAAAGCATATGGGACCATTTGAGAATTAATTCCATATTCAGTCTCCACAAAATTTCGAACATATTTGGAAAGAGTTTAGGGGAAACGCTCCTATAGTTGCCGTACGTTAGAAGCGTTAGGTTTCTATAGTTGTGCAGAATTCTGTGAGAACTGTCAGCGATTTTTTTTTTACTTCAACATAGTAAAAATTAACTAAAGCAAACGTGATCGTACATTGTCATAACAAGATTGCGTATTATGGGCCTACCCACAAGCTCTTGTGAATTCATAAAAGGTAATCCATATTGCCAAAAAATTGGACTTTTCCAAACCGGCTTAGCAAAAAATTCAGAGCAAATTCTAAGAATGTTGACTACAATCAAACTTGTAACGAATCTGTTTGATTTGAAATCTTCATAATTTTCACAAACAACCAAGACCAACAGACGAATAACTTTCGGTGAGATGACACAACTAACATTCGAAAAAATCCGAAAAGTACCACGCGTCTCCTCCGTAGGAACACAAAGCGCGATGTCGACGAGACCATCTGATCGCCGGCCTTCGCGGGCGAGACGCTGAGCAGGACAGACACACCGGCGCGAGACAGAGAAAGCGCGAAAACAAACGTTGCGGGAGGCCAGTCAGCAGATCGTAATCAACAGCAACCGGACCCACCACACTTTACCGCCCAGAGCCAAGCTAGGAGCGAGCGAGCGAAGACGACAAGAGAGATTCATCCGCGAGTTGCCGTTGTTTCGCGCGCAGCAGCGATTCATTCGCTTCACAGTTTGACAGCATCTTTCCCATTTTTCCTCCTATTTTCAAAGTCTGCTCTGCCAAATAATATGCTTGAGCCAAAAATGCAACGATAGGGAAAGAAAATCGCAAAATCGATCTCGTCTCTGTGCTTTCATTCATTCAACTTTTTCTTGGAGCTACGACCGACGAGTATAGTAAGTAGTCACAAACATCATCATCCATCGGTTTCAGTAGGCGCGAGCCACGAGCGAGTGTGCTCCACTTCTCTCATTCGCGAATCCGGTCTGTGCTGTGGCTGTAGGGTGAGATTTAAATGCCCCAACGCGTGACGTAGCCGAAATAAAAATGAAGAATTGAGAGGGAAAGGAAAAAAAAAAGAACACAACCAGGAAAGCGCGCGCGGAAAACTGTGGGCCAATCTTCTGCTTCACCACCACCTATTATCATCATCATCACCATCATCAGCCACATTCGCGAGCAGGAAGGCGCGCGCGAATCCATAGAGGAGCAGTAGGCAACAAAAACACAGCTCTCAAAAATCGAGCGCCAATATTGCGTCGGGCATTGCTCGCTGTGTGGTTGGCGTTTCGTCAAAAGAGGAGGGAAAAGAAAGGCAATGATTAAAGTTCTGGCGCGCTGTCAACCAATAGGTTTCGCCAGGCGGTCGGTGTGGTGTGTCGGTAAACATAGTCATATGCGAACACATTTTTTGGGGGGTGTCATTTTGGTTTTTTTTCTTTTCGAGAGGATGAAATGCAGAAAAAATGTTTTAAAAACTATTGGAAAAATCCATTTGCTATCATTTTGTTTGATTCAGCGTAAGTTGGTGATAAGCTGTTTAACGGTATTAAAGCAAATGTATTTTGAAGAAGTATGGGCAAAGGCTTATTGAAACGCATAGATGAACCTGGTTTAAATTAAGAATGTGACAGAAGCGTTATTTTTGTACAAATTTGGTTCGATGTTTGTTTGTTAATTTTAAATTAATAGAACCACGGGCACAAGTTTAATAAACATTGGGAAGATAACCATCTACAAAGATAATTATCTCTCTGTATGTTTTATGCAGAATTTGCACGAAGTCCCATAAACTTTCTTGGGATTATTTAAATTTCAATGCAGTTCTGTTCAGTTCTGAACTATCTCAATTTTTCAAGTTCTCTGTATTTCCTGAAGTTTTCTTGAGTTTGAGATTCCCTGAAATCTTCGAAGGTTTCCTTATTCAACTAAAGGATCCTTCAAGTTCATCAAAACATCCCCAAACTCCATTGGAATACCCTGAACATTCCTTGAACGTGTCCGAAGAGTTTTAAATGGTCCGTAATCCGGGCGCAAATTGATCACTATTTAACGTTCATATCTAAACAAATTTCTACAATACACAAAATTGAAAAACTAATAGTATTTAAATCAGTAGTTATGGGGACTCCAGGACGATGGAAGAGCAGCATGATTTCTTATAATATTGGATGTTTTGTTAATTTTAAGGATTTTTTTTTTTAATCTTAAATTTGAAAATATCGATATGGGGTGAAATTGATCAACCCCTTAAATGGCTTCCCATTGCATTTTTAGTAATTGTTCTTATTAAATGTGCGTTTTCTGAATCCGATTCAAATGCTAAAACCTTTGCTTGAAAAGTATTGTCAGCAGAAACGCCTTAAATATACGTTTTAAATGAACAGTTGCGCCTAAATAATTGCATTCAAAATCACTGGTAATTTTGCGAAAAACCCTAGATTTCTTGATATTTGAAACATTTTACTGTAATTTATTGGATAATTTGGATTCATTGAATATTGTGTGCTACTTAACGTCATGCGTCAGCTCTATAAAATTGAAATTTGTGGAATAAAATATAATTATTTGTTATGAAAAACAGATCAACGATTTTAAGAAAATGAGCCAATACATTTCAAATTTTTTAGGTTTAGCATAAAACCCTCTTTACTCGAAGTTCCAGGAGAACAAATCTCATAATATTGCTCCATGGTAAAGTTCGAGGGGAACACACTGAAAAATTATTACCGACTTCGGTAATGTCAAGTTTCTCTTGTTTTAAATCCTTAAAACAAATGCATTAAAATGCATGATTTTTACCAGCTCTTGAATGTTCGGTAAAAATGACCAAAGTTGGCAATCATTTCTTTGCATGTAGGAAACGTCATTTTAATCTGCTCGAATGATGTGAATGAACATCTTAAAGTATTGCGACTGAAAACTTAAATCAAATATATAACTATGTAAGATTTCGTCGAGCCCGACGACTGCGTAATTGCGTAAGACTTCGTTGTTTCGTCCAAAGATCACGTCGTTTGTGAAAACGTTAAGCTTCTCCAACAATTTATCTGCATTTTGCAGGCATCTCGTTCAACTAATTTCTTCACATTTTCAAGATGTAAAAGGATTCTAGCAAAGCTCGGTTCAATCATTTTTCGGCCTTTGTAGTTCATGCGTAGTTAACTTTTTTTTTTTTGACGAACGGCAGCAATCGACATACTGCTTCTTACTAGCAATAGCAGCGCTGATGTCCCACTTCCGAAGCTGAAGAAATTCAACTTGTCAGTTTGATGGTTGAAAATGGCATGACTTCTATTTCCCAATCGATGTCTTCCTAAACCCTAGTGATTGAGTTATGACCTAGAGGGGTAATATTAGAAACTGACATCATTAGTAATGTTCTTCAATTGTGACTGAAATAAGTCACGTTACGCTATATTCGGAAGAAGCTTCAACTCCTTTGTTCAAAAGTTTGATTGCGATTTAAGTGTAAGATATTAGAGCTATTTAAGATCAGATGGGGCCTCCCTTATCTCAGTCGATAAAGGCGCAGCTATAAAGCAAGACCATGCTGGAGGCTAGGAATTTTTCGGGTTGGAAAATTTATCGGCATTCCTGGGCATAGAGTATGATTCTAGTTGCCACACAATACACACTGATGCAAACATGGTAGAAGCTTAGAATTCTCTAAATTGTTCACCGCCGCTTATATCTTAATCCATGATTACCCATATAGTTAAACCTGGTTCAAAGCTTAAGCGGAGTTGAAAAAATCAACCCTCAGTTGAGAGCCGATGTAAGGTCCCAGTGGGGACGTCATAACACCAGAAGAAGAAGAAGATCAGAAAGGTATTTTTTGTTGGCATTAATATTGGAAAACTTAACAAATCATTTAAGTTTTCCATTCAAGCTTCCAACAATGCATTTTTTGTGTCGTAAGTAAGTGGATCATTAATATATGAGCAAGGTTACCTATGGAAGATTTGTATCCAAAACTTAATGTTTGCTGCAGAGAAGCAAATACCGAGTTTATTTTTTAGATCTGACAGACTGAATTTCGGCAAAACTTCTCGAACATGAGGAAAATCGATAGAGGTTTCACTCCGTCTCTAAGTATACTACTAGACAAAGTGAAAATTTCATGGATTTTCCTCACATTCGAGAAGTTTTTCCTGGTTTTACACGACTTTTGCCCAGAAAATTCAACTCACTGTTTCAGTAAATCCACGTTTGCCGAAATTGAAGTTAGCTCGATTCAATTTTGAGTAATGAGTTTAGTACCCCTGAAACCGCGCAGAGGAAAGATTCCTTCAATCCAAAGACAAGATACCTATCTTTCCTTACCAACATTTCGCGGATAAACAACGGACTTTTCTCCCTGGAATTCATTTAAAATATATCGATTAAATATGTGAAAAATTCTAAATTAAGAATGTTAAAATCACATGAAGTCTGTACCGATATTTCAAAACGTTTGCCCTTCCCTCAACAGTTTCCTTCACAGTTACTTCTACGACCCTCGAAAAAGGACACGAAGGGCCCGAACAAGAAAAGATAGAGAAAAGGCTCATACTCAGGTAGCAAGGACTATACAAGCGTTAAAAAAAAATCTCGGATAGCTTACCTATACAGATCCATCCTTTTCGGGGCTGGGCTTCTTCGATAGCTGCTTTCACCTACTGGTTCGGGCCGAGGCCTCGCCTGGACCGCTTGCACCGGACGGTAATCCGGAACTCCTTGTGCTTTCTAATTCCACAGTTATCCACTTTCACATAAGCTCACTTTCCAGGACTGAGGACAACTTAGGTTCCCAGATTTCCTCCTCCTGGTATCTGCTGCTGAGCTACTGCTGCTGCCGATGCTCAATGAGCGTGTACTTCTTATTCCCGGCAAAAATTCCTAGAGAACCAGCACCAAGATGTTAACACTCTGCAGGAATTTCGAACCCCACCACACAACCACGCACAAACTCGAAACTCAAGAAGAAAGGCAGGAGAATGAAGGAGGTGGAAAAATTAAATGGCTGACGAATCTTCCCGCACGGGAACTACCCAAAATCAATGGGGTTTTATGCTTGAGGTAGCCCGCTGAATTCCGAAACCCCTTCGGATCCGGATAGTCCAATAACGGGAGAACCGATTTCCCTTCGAACCGGCACAATCCGTTGGCACACTTGTCCGATAGCGGTCACACTAATTGCTCCAACGAGGCAACACGTTCGAAGTTCTAGCACCAAATGAGTTTTCACCTCTTCTTCCTCGATGAACTACTGCTAAGCTGCTTGCGCAGCTCTTGAAGAATGAATGATTGTAAAAAGAGGAAGATTTTCACCGAAGTTAGGTCAATTTTGGCGCGTATATTTTTCCGGAAAATCTCGGCCAAATCAAATTTTTCACGCACCACTGGATAGAACACTTCACGAGCAACCCGAAGACCTGGATTTTATTTAATTCCAATACTCGGAAGCGCTTGAAAATTGACTTAGAAAATCACACTCCCGCCAAAATTTAAAGGCCATATAAAGTAGACACGTAATCGATTCCGAATTTTAAATGGTACCACACATCAATAAAACAGTACTTTTCCACCGAAATGGCACGGGACGTTAATTGCACTTGCCTGTAGTTCTTCTGTACAGCGAAATTCCGATTTTTTCCGCGAAAACTGGCTTTTTAGCAAAAATGAACAAGATTTTGACCGGGAAATTTTCCCGCACTTTAACACAAACGTCACTGTCAAAATTTCATAGAAAACATAAAATAATTTCACTGCCTCCAAATTGTGCCATCATATTCTTCACGTTCAAGATCCACTTAACTACTTTTAAAAAAATTCAGAAAAGTTTTCATTCATAAATCGTCCCAAAACCTGCCGAAAAACTCATTATCCCACCTTTGCTTCTGATTCTAGGTTAGTCTCATGTTTGTGCCGATTTCCACCTGAAAATAATCGCCAAAATTTACCTTTTTCACACTAACCCAACGGTATTGAACTGCTTTTTCACGGGAAATTACCGTTCTTCACCTATCTCACAAATTTCCACCACAATTTCCACTAAATTCACCGGCTGTACATTTTGCACTGATGGCTGCAAGACACGAAGAACTATATCGCCAACTTCTCCTGACAACTGGCTGCCGATGATTGCGAGCCAAAAGCGACTTAATGCTGCGCACCAGCAACAACAATCCACGAACAGGGGAAAAAAAAGTATCTAGCTGTCAGCTGCTAGCCCTGCCACCATTGCCGTCTTGCTTTAACTAACGGAAACTTACAGAGATTCGGTTATAAACACTGAGCAACTGTCCCGCTTTCGCCAGTACGCGCTCTTTTGAGCATGGCACGCAGCACCACAGTTCGAGACGGCTAATACATAGGTGTAACAGTCGGAAGAAGTGTTAGTTTGTTTACTTAAATGAACCATGCCCATTTTGTTATGGCATGTTTGCTATACGAAATGCGCCTCGTGTTTATTAGCGAATTTCACATCAAAGATTGATTAATTGAGTAGGAAATCAGTTTGGCACGGCATTTGAGACCAGCATACACCTTCCGGTAGTATGAAACAGGTCAAAAACTGTTCAAATCCGCAGATAAAATTTTTGTTTTGAATTTCTGTATAGCAAAATAGTGAACTTTTCGTGAACATTAACGGCAAAGAACTCACCAACACTGGGAGACTGTGAGTTCCTGCCCACCTGTTCATTTTCCATCGTGACCACAGTTGATGAAGAAGCTTTTGTGACTTCATTCGTGAATTTTTTTACCGTTGTCAGATCATAAAAGCTTTCGGAATGCGCTTTGCTCGCCAGTGTGGCCAGCTCTATGGGCTTATCTGTTGAACTACACATTTTTGCCATTTTAGATTTACTGCGGCAGTTTCAGCACTCCTGCATTGGCTTCCAGATGTTTCACTTATTTTCACAAAGGTTTTCTCGAGGGTTATCACACAGAGATTTCCGTGGTCTAGTGCGCGAGGTGAAACGAAGGAGGATGACACAAGCATGTTGACTTACTGCATCAGCAATTTTCGAATTGATTACTGTTCAGTAAAACATAACGAATACTGAAAACTCGATCAGTTCTCTATTTTAGATTTTACTGAGTTTTAGTCATTCACCGAAAAATTCAGTACTTGCTATTAGGTAGCTCTATTACCGTATTCAGTAGTTTGTTGTAAGGAGCTGTTCAAAAACTACGTAGTAGTTTAGGGGGGGGGGGGGGTTGACATTTATCCACGGCCCATTCAAATTTAAAAAAAAAATTATGGACAATTGTCTACGCAGGGGAAGGGGGGTCAAGAATCCCAAAAACTATCTACGTAGCTAATGAACAGTCCCTAAAAGCTACTGAACATCAGTAGTTTTATGTTTTCATGCTTAAAAATACTGGTTTTTGAGTCAAAAGTTATTATACGTCGTTTGGTGGCCCCGTAATGTTACTTAAGTCAAAGTGTATTTACCAGGATATTCGGGAGAATTATCAATCACATCCCGTAAAAAAAATTAAATAAAAATACAATGATTTTCATTGTCATCGTAACCATGATATTTGCTGTCAAAACAATGGACATTTTTGTCCATTACCATAAAATCACAACGAAATTCATGGTTCACAACAATGAAAATCATGGTATTTGAGAAATTTACAAAAAAAAAGGGGGGTTGTTAAGCATCTTAACAATATAAAAAAGTGATTTTTCCCGAACAAATATGATCTCATCACACTAATTTTCGTTGTTTGAGCATTGTATCGTTAAAAATCGATTTTTTTTTCTACCGTACGATTAATTTTTAAACATTTAATTTTAATGTACTCAAAATTCAACAGTAAAAATCATTGTAATTTCGTTGTTTTATTATAATTATTTTTTTCGGGGTGTCCTCACATGCAGCCCATTCATCATTTCAGGACCACCGAAATCATCTTAGCAACAAACGGTTCGATTTATCCACTTTAATAATGAGAAAGTGAAACGACGAACGTACACTTTTCACGGGTTTCTCTATGCTGTTACTTAAGACAAACGGCATCTCCAATAAAAAAAAAGATTCCCAGCAGCATAATTTTGTCACACAACAAAATGTTCACACCGTTTTCAGCATGCATTGGTTCATTTCGACACTACAGTTTTATGTAGCGAGGGCGCATTCTAGGGTGGCGTATCGAATAATCGGTGTTTGTTTACCTACTATTCCCTTTGTATAGACTTCTCTGACGTTTGTGAATTGCACAAGTAGTAATGCAGAACTTTGGGTAAATTCAAAGGTTTTCTTGCACTAATACTTATAATTTACCCCGAGTTCTGCACTAATACTTGTGAATTTCACAAACGTCACAGAAGTCTATACTTTGATGTGTGAACATATGTTTTCAACTATCAAATATTTTCACATCAGTCTAAAAACCAATGCAACCCGCAATACTGCTTTAATTCCATAAATTACACAAAGTAGAACATTAACTACTTTTTACGTCCATTAATTACAGTCGAAATTTCGTAATTAAAGTACGTTAATTACATTTTCAATACTTTTAATTACATAAAGTACGGTTAGTAAAATTTAATTACCGTCAGTACTACTTCAAAACGCATGAATTGCTTTAAGTACTTTTGATTGCATTTGCGTGCCCCTCGGCAGGAGCATCGATTGACAACAGCCCAGTGGCAGGCACGTAGGCAACATGTTATACCGTGACAGCGGGCCCAGCACAGCAAAATAAACGATTTGAGCCCGGGACAACACGCACCATGCTATAAAATGGTGCTCGATGGTTTACAAAGTGATAACACGATGACAAATCATCTTTATTTTGAGTAATTGAGCAATGTACTTCTGCTTACATCATATGTACGATGCAGCATTGATGCAGCTGTGAAATGAAATGAATATATCTTATGAAAGTTCATCTGGAAAAGTCAAAGATGCACATCAGTCTGATCGTGAAAACATTTTCTTCCTCAATTCGAATGTTATATTGGAAGGATTTTACGCAGGCTTGATGAAAATTATGATTTAATCGAGGATTTAATGCTAATTTTTACGAATTTTATATGCAGTCTGTCAACATTATCATCATCATGCAGTGGCGACATCTGCGTCGAGCTTTTATGGTAATCTCCCAATAGAAAAAAATATTTTACATTCATGGCATCATTGGTCAACTCCATCGGCTCCATCAAATATCACGCACAACTTTCTGAAGGGTATTAAATATTCAAAAACATTAATGGTGGTAAGCTCCAACCGGTATTATCCTCGGATTAAATCCCGATTAAGAATGTCCGGCTGGTTTGATGTCGACATCAGAGTTAATCAACAGAACTCTGAGCAAACATTTTTCAGATCATACAAATAGGGACGGTATTAAAAGTTAATCCGAGTTGGAGCTTACCGCCATAAGAAGAGTGAGAAGATCGATTGTCAAGTCCCGTCTCGGCGTTAAACAACCCATTTATCATTAATTCAGTGCCAACATTTCAAAGGGGCGTAATTGCATTTGTAAACAATGGCTTTAGCCATAGATTTCTCGCAAATAAAAGCTCACTCATGAAAAATAATAACACCAGCAGGTAGAGGAATGTTTCCTCTACCAGCTAGCATTGTAATTTTGGAGAGGTGAGATATCATTCGCGAGAAATTGACGGCTAAAGTCATTGTTTACAAAAGCAATTACGCCCCTTTGAAATGTTGACACTGAATTGTATTGTTGTACATCTATTGTAAAACCAATATGTTAAAATTTCTTTTACAATACGTGTACAATAAGATCGATTGTTAACAATAGGTTTTGATGTAATTGTATTTTATGTTATGGAAATTGTATGGTTATTTTTTCCGGGCGTTATTCTTAAAATTAATTTAAATACAATTTAATCTTCCAATTTTTGCAGAATTCACTCTGGCATCACTGCTAATTTTTATCAGTGGATTTCGACAAAATTCACCAACATTCAACGCGAATCAAATAGTTTTTCAGTAATCAATGGCTAACTCCGTAGATCGAATTCAGAATGTTCGAAGCAATAATTTACTGATCGCTGAAGATGGCGGGAATCAGAAACGATTGCAAAATCTACTTTTTGAAGTAAGCATCGCTACCGTCATATTCCTATAGCATTGATTTATAATAAAATAACCAAAATAAACTATCCCACTAGACAGCAGTTCGGTATGCTACGGCTAATAAGCATGTTATCTTTGTAACGGAAAAGCCCATCGATAGCGTATCACCCGAAGTCTTCAGCAACTACAGCACTATCTACAAGAAAATTATATTCATGTAAATTGTTGTCAAATACTTATAATGCTTAATAACACTATTATAACGATTTTAGTTATTCAAAATCGGCTGAAGCAGTGCTACTGAAACTGAACGACATCAAAGGATGGAATTTCACACCCAGCTTGGTAATTGTAGAATCCATCCAGAACCTGCTGCGAGGAGCCAGCAGTAGTGGAGAGGATCTGCACTATGCCTATAGTGTTTTCCTGGCATCGGTGCTGGATACCATTTGCTTCTTTTCCCAGAAGCAGTGCGACCGATCACAGTGTATCATCACCGTTGGGCGGGACGTAATCGATTCTGGAAGCGTTGTGGTAGAACCATTCTTTAAGCAAAGCAATTTGGTGCACGGAAACGATATCAACTTATGTTCCGATGTACTTGACATGCTAAGAGAATGTTGCTGAAATGAAGACTAAAAGAGATTTTAACGTAATATAGCTTGGGGGTGCCTTTTTTGTTGAACGAATCACCTCACCTTTCCAAATGTTCGGTTAGCAAATGTTAACCCTTTCCCGCCCAAAGTGTTTTGGTATAAGCAATTTAAAAAAAAAACTAAACGCTGCTCGGTTGAACACTCGCTGCAAGCCGTAAATAGCGCTCTCTAAGCTATAATTAGTTCGAAGAAGTGGAAGTCTCAGCATAAGACTGTTGCGTAGTGATCGAGGTTGAACATTAATGTTCACTTGTTGCAGAATTGCTTCGCAGTCGATTCTTTCTTGCAGAGTATCGGCGACGGTTAAGGCTCTGAAAACATCTCTTCTGATACGTAAGGGCTCGATGATGATCAATTGGCAGCGATTCTCGTAGCTTGGAAGACGAAGTGGATATCTCCAAGGCAGCTTACGGAGCGCGAAGCGAAGAAAACGTCGTTGCATAGATTCAATTCGCTCGGCCCCATTATTGTAGTTCGGGCTCCACACTGCAGAGCAGTATTCCACCTTAGATCGTAAGAGAGCAATAGAGCGATTTCAAGCAGTAAATGTCTGTGATGTTCTTAGTAATCTTGAAGACAAAGCCAAGAGTACTGGACATTTTGTCGACGACACACTATATATGGTGTGAGTATGTCAGCTTTGAGTCTAGAAAAACGCCTAAGTCTTTCACGGTATGCACCCGTTCGATAGTCGTGCCTAGTAGTTCGTAGTTGAAAATAATCGGTTGTTTCTTGCGTGAGAATGTAATAACTGTACACTTAGCTGGGTTGACCACCAGTCGGTTTAGACTACACCAGTCAGCAAAGATGTCAATCTGATTTTGGAGAGAACGGCAGTCGGCGAGTGAGCGGATGCGCAGAAAAACTTTCAGATCGTCTGGAAACGTGTGATAACATGGTTAACGTCGTTGAAGTAAAGGAGAAATACCAATGGTCCCAGATGGCTATGGCTATGAACGAAACCATCTCAAAAGATTTCCACCGATCCCTAAATAACGTCCTAGTAAATAACGTCCGTTTGGGTCCGAGCAATCAAACTGTCTGTGATGTAAGACGTTAGGCACAGCAGGTTCGTAGTTGTGGAACACCCAGTTATGAATCCGTGTTGATCTATACTTAGATATTGCTTGCAATGCGCATTTAAAAACTCTATGACAACTAATTCAAAAAGTTTTGATACAGCCCTCAGCGACGTGATTCGCCGGTAGTTATTAACGTCGCGTTTGCTTCCCTTTTATGAATAGGAAAAATATTTGCAGGCTTCCAGCAAGACGGAAAGATTACTCTGGAAAGAGATAGCAGTGGATCTAAAAGACAAGTGATGTTCTTTTATGTTAAGTTGACATCGGCTTTCGTAACTGGGTAATCGAAACGGATCATTCCAAGGCAATCTAGGCAACGCAAAACGAAGAAAGCGACGTTGAACAGATTCAATTCTCTCGGCACCGTTGTTGTAGTTTGGGTTCCAAACCGCTGAACAATACTCAAGCGTCGATCGAACAAGCGAACAATAGAGATTTTAGACAGTAGTTATCAGTGAAGTTTTTAGCTATCCTAAAAATGAGCCCTAAAGTTCTTGATGCCTTATCGACAACATACGCAATGTGTTGCTTGAATGAAAGCTGCGAATCCAAGATCACACCCAAGCCTTTCACCTGATTCACACGTTCGATTGTCGAGCCAAGCAGGTCATAGCTAAATATTATCGGTTGTTGTTTTCGTGAGAACGTAATAGCGGAGTATTTGGCTGGGTTCACTACCATTCTGTTTAACCTGCACCAACTAGCGAATACATTCAGCTGACGTTGAAGAAAGTGACAGTCAGCAATGGAGCAGATTCGTAGGAAGATGTTGAGATCATCATCACCGAGGAGCCTCGATGACCAGATGCACGTCGTTAAAGTACAGTATAAAAATCAACGGTCCCATGTGGCTTCCCTGAGGTATACCTGATGTGGCGAGGAAGCTAGCTGATCTGCAATCTCCTATGGCAACCTTTAGTTGGCGACCGGTATGATATGATCGAAACCAACTTAGAAGATTACCGCATACACCGAGTCTGCCGAGTTGCAATAGCATGGTTCAACTTGTCGAATGCTGCGGATAGGTCTGAATAAATAACGTCCGTTTGAACCCGATCCGACATGCTTTCGGTTATATATGATGTAAGACACAGCAGATTGGTGGTTGTAGAGCGGCCGACAGTAAACCCATGTTGATCAGCACTCAAATATTGCTTGCAATGGGACAGCAACGGTTCCATAATCACTAGCTCGAATAGCTTCGAAACGGCACTTAGCGATGTAATTCCTCGATAGTTATCCACAGCTCGTTTCCTTCCTTTTTTGTGGACGGGAAACATGTGCGCAAATTTCCAGCAATGCCACTGGAGAGACACTCGGAACAGGCGAAGAAGCGGAATTAACAAGCTAGCTAGCAAGCAAGCTCTTCAAAAATACAGAAAAGGTCCAGGATTGAAGGATGACTTGAGCAGAGTCGCGGCCTTTGAAATCATCTCAGCATTAACATCAATTGCACCCAGCGTTTGATCATTTACTGGAATGTTCCTGGCAGCCAGGTTAATATGGTCGTCAGTTAGTATCTCATTAATGAATACACTAGCAAACTTGTCGAAAAAAAAGGCGGCATATATCCTGAACGGTGGCAGCAACTTCTCCGTTGAATTGTCCCATATGAATCGGAAATTAAGCAGAGATAAGACAGTTATGCTTTCATGGGCAGCATAGTCCTTTGGTTTGTTTTTTCCGTCGATCTTGTTTTCCGTGCTGAGCACCAATGCTACTGACGTGCCAGGAAGGCAGCTCCCACACCTGGACCCTACCTATCGACCCATCAAACTCATGAACCGGGGACCAACGGCTTTACTTCCCATCCGAAGGAAGGCGTGATCAGAGATGTTATGCCTCAGAACATCCCGGCGGCGCCGACTGGGATTGAACCCAGGCCTGTTGGGGTGAGAGGTAGTCACGCTTACCACTACACCACCGGCGCCGTTATGGGCAGCATAGTCCATAATTGTCTGATCTTGGGACGAAATAAGATTCATGATTTTAAATCTATTGGTAGTTGTTATTGTTATTGTGCCATGCTGGAGGGGGCATTGAGCCTGGTCACCAGTGTAATGTTGATGACCAATTATACCACTTCCATTCAGCTATCAAATAGATATACATGAGATGGCTCTTAGATAATGACTTATGCGAGTCGATTGAAATCACCCGAATATTAAATAAGGGCTAAGTTGATCCTTAACATAGAAGCATAGATGCATAGGTGAAGGATAAGAGCAAGGAGAGGCAAAGGTATTGAAATGCAGAATTAGATGTCGTCGAGATTGAATGCACACGTTGATCCAGGTACCTATCGTATAAATTTGTAAATCATCTAGTAATGATTATTGTCAATAATACTTACATTTCGAAAGATGATGCTACCTATTTTACCTTTTATGTGATACTTATCATCACAGAATCCAACTTTGAATCGTAGACCAGCTCCATTAACAATACACTCGTTCCGAGAAGGGGCTCATGGTACCACTCATCCTGTATAGTCATCTTCTTCTTCTTCTTCAGGTTCGCTCACCACCCGGAATGAACGCTCGGTGCGGTTAGTAATATCAAATAGTGTTACATGCAAACGAAAAAGAGATACAACCAGGATTAGTTTTTTGAAGTAATAGTTTCATCTGTATACCCATCCGAGTAGGCTCTGCCCGCGAACGGTTGGTTTTGTTTTCGCTGGCGCTGATTTCATTGGCAAATGAAAGTTGGCACTCGTGGAGAATAGAAGAACTATAACAGTGATGATGCTTTCAAAATTTTCCACTGGGAAGTATACGAATGCAATCTTAAAATGCTTTTATTTTGCAAATGGAACATTTTATTTAAATCTGGTTGCTGCTACAGTGGTAGAAAAGCTCAAATCTATGTGTACACCTAAAAATCTGAAAAGAAATTAATTTTTCTGTATTATTTGTCTATTGAGTAGTCCTTAAGTTTTCTACTAACATAGCATCAACCAGATTTAAATAAAATGCTCCATTTGCAAAATAAAAGCATTTTAAGATTGCACTCGTATACCTCACCGTGTAAAATTTTGAAACCATCATCACTCTCATAGTTCTTCTATTCTCCACGAGTGCCAACTTTGATTTGCCAATCTGTTTTCCGCATATTTTTCAATTGTACCAAATCAAAAAAATATTAGTTTTCGAGTATGGACAAGTGTAAATTAAGATCTATCACGTTTAAGGAAGTTTGTTTAGTGATATTGTAATTAACGTGAAAAATCTGGGAAAAGAATTTGTTTCGAGTAGCTGTGTTGCTGTGGTGTCGCGTTGGTCGGTTTTTCTTTTCGCTTGCTTTTTGGTGCTTTGCCTCCCTCCCAAGAAGAGTTTTACCGGTTTTTTTTTCTTTTCTTGGTGCTGGCGTTCTGCCTTCCGGAGGATGCACGCAAATGAGGTGTCAGGCAAAAATTCGGAGCAAATGAAAAACTTCGCGTGTGATTCAAAATGTCGTGTTCGGTTGTAAAAACAACGCGGAAGATTTTTTCGACTACCGCGAGTGAACAAACCGGTGCTTTTTCGGAGGCAGAATTTGATGAGATCCTTCTGATTTATAATCAATCATAAATGCATATTTCCATATATTATTATTATTATTATTTAGCTTTATTTAGGAGGCTTTCAGCCTTAGGCTGGTTCGCCTCCAATTTCCATATATTACTAAATACGCGCCAGATTTCGAAACATCACATTTCGAAATCTGGAAGTGTGTTTGCAGTACCATTATTCATATGATAACGGTAATGTTTACATGCGGGGCTTATTGTATGTGAAAGTAACCTCGGAATGGACGTGAATTACCAGGCATTCTGAAATGGGTTGCTGAATCTGCAGTAGAGCTATCGCTTTCTAACTCCCGGACTAAACTTGCTTTAAATTATTACATCAAGGATTTTTGTAAGCAAATTTCTTCCATAATACCACTGCCGTCCAGTGGGGGTTAGATTGAACACACACACACACACACACACACACAGGGCTACAAATGGTGAGTTGACAACC